CTTGCCTTTTAATATTTTAAGTTAGGAAAAATAGAGGTATGTTGACCTCAGAATTGCTTTCACTCTTAGTGCACACCTAAGTATGTTTTTGTATTTAATAGGGTCCATTAAGTTTAAAAACTTCATTATTTTTATTTTCTGTGCTTTTGAGTGTTATATCAGTACAAAGAGTAATCTCTTACAACCTCTGATTTGTTAATATATCAAAATTTTTCATTTTCACAACTGAATATTATTCAAAGTCACATCTGTTAAGTCTTATTCCCAGAGAGGATTTTTTGTGAACAATAAAATGGGCAGCTTCATTTAAATTCTGAGCTAAGTAAAATTCTTCACCATGCTTAGATTGACCAGAATAAATTCTGGATCTAGGATGATGGTAAATGACATGTAACAGAAAATGTAGACACTCTTTCTCCAATAAGTTGTTCTTCCACAAAAAATTATTTTAGCCAGAAAAGTAGATACTGAGCTTACCATTTCCAATAAATGTTTTTCTTTTCCTTATAACATACTATTTAGGTCATTGAGTTTTGCAGTGACTTTGGTTAAACATGCCAAGTCAGCAACAAGTCACTCCATGTCATTCAATTTTTAGTCATAGCTTTGGATATGAGAAAAGTTTTGATCTTCAACAGCATTCCCAAAATATTGTTGAAATATTTGCTCAACTCAGCCATCTTACATCTGCATGGTAAATTATATCACCATACTCACTATTTAACCTATCAAGCAAAGCTCTAAAATGCTAATGTTTCTAAGATTGTCCTCGGATAAATTTTACAGTGAGCACAATAATAGTTATAATGTGATAGAGAATAACTGAGATTATATTTTTAGCAGCCAATTTTTGTGATGAATAACGCAGTGGTATGAATTAAATTTGGAAAATGAGTCATACTGCTTACAGAGCCCAACAAACTGAATATTATTCCTAATCGAAATCGAAGCACCATTGGTTGTGATTCCAAAGAGTGTTTTATGGGTGTGTTCTCTTCAGTAATGTAGTTTTTAACTGCACCATACCATATATGTCTTGCCTTAGTAAGTGTTTTGCCAAACTCGACATGATCTACAATGCTTCTTTCTCAGAAAAGTCAAGAAAACCAATCTCATGAATATCAGAAGTTACGGTGAGTCGGTAACGTCAATGGATTCTTCCAACTGCAGGGAAAAATACACGCATTTTTTAAAATCAGATCTCATTTTTACTGCTATCTTTTATAGCTAAAGTGATTTCATTTTTATTTTTAAATTTGTGAAATAAAGACTCTGACATTGGCAGCATAGTTTCCTTCACAAATGACCCCCTCCAAAAATGCATTTTTGTGTGATGTAAGAATGTAATTTACTTTGAAGCATGCTTTTGTTTGGTTCTTTGGTTTGTTTTTGAAGGAAAAGCTTCACTTTGTTGAACTTTTAGAGAAGATTTCAAATGTTCATGCAAAGGAGACCTGAGCATATGTTTTCCATAGAAATCCTTATGAATGGTTTTATGATGGTGATCAATATTTGATCGCTGTTGATTCAATACCATTACTGAATGTCGACAGCATGGCCAGATCAATAATTAATCCTTTATGCAGACATGCAGTGCTGCCAGCAGTAAACAGGGCTTGTGTTAAAGCCAACATTCTAATCCTAATTCACTGCTCAGACAAAATCGTGGAAGCGGGACAGAGTAAAGATAACACACATATAGGTGAATACAAATGCAGTGTTTTCGTATGTGATGTGTAATTGTATCTTTTTACTTCTGTATGCAAAGTAAAGGAATATCGTAATGACAAAAAAATTTCGCACATCATATTTCAACAGAAATATCCATTTTTGACTGTTCCCGAATTCATTTGGACAGTCTTGGGAGGTGAAGTCTATACATACAGACAAAATAAAGGAACTTTTTTTCCAAAATGGGTTTAAAAAGGATTTTCTCGTGGCATCTGTAAGTGCATACGTACATATGCATGCATTTATCTTTCATAAATTAAAACTGATTAGCCAAAGAACATTGAAATTTTGTATACAAGACTGTTATAACATCTAGATGTGCATCTCCAGTTTTTATTGCAGTTGGCAATAACAAACATATATGTTTATACAAGGTATCCTTGAATTCATAGGCCAAACTTTAAGGGTAGGTATAATAGTATAACATTTTTTGTATAGAAGTGTGGGACTGGAAATGAAAAGTATAGGTGGAAAAATAAGAAATGCTGAGGAAATGGGAAAAAAAAGCTGTTTTTTTTATCTTTATAGTTATACAATGAGTGCTGAAACACCCAACCATTAAGATTGATAGAACCCTGGAAGTCTCGATTCAGTGATCTGGGTATATTGTGGCTGTAAAGGGCAGTATCACAAGCAGTTGTGCTGCATGTATTTTTGTAAACAATTTTCAGAGCAGACAGTGTTATAAATTTAGTGACATAGCTAAAAAAGAGATCAATTTTGAGGAGGAAAAAATAATTGAATATTGAGGTTTTTTTAATTTGCATTATCAAATCATCTGCAAAACAATTTTATTGAGTTTTAATGGCATTATGCAAGCTTCATTTGCTTTTAGAGAATTTGATTCGTATCAAGAGACTGGATGCCATTTGCTTGAGATATGTAAATATCTCAAGCAATAAATATAAGATATTATATTTATATCTAAAATATAATATCTTATATTTATTGCTTGAGATATTTACATATCTCAAGAAAGAAGAATATAGAAAAGCATATTCTGACAGAGATTGAAGATAATCCAAGCACTAGCACAAGATCGAGTGCATGAACTGCAGGCATGTGTAAAAACATTGTATGGAAAATTCTGCATGAGGAAAGACTTCCATACCACTTACAGAGAATGCAGCTGATTATCCTCGGCTGCATTCGGCGGCTAGATTTCTGTCATTGGTTTTTACAGCAGAGTACATTCACACTGAGCTTCTCTGCAAATGTACTTTTCTCAGATGAGGCCACCTTTGCATTATACAGAGTTCTTAATTTGCATAATTCCCACATGTGATTCATCTGTAACCCACATGCTACACATCCGCAAGCTCTCAAGGAGTGGTTCTCTGTTAATGTGCAGGCACATATTGTGAACGATTTCTTTATTGTCTCACACTTGCTACCACATCAACTCAATAGCATGGCATATGAAATCTTTCTGCAAGAGGTATTACTGGACTTACTTGACAGTGTTCCAGTTGCTGTACGAAATGCTATCTGGTTTCAGTACAAGGGGCTCCAGGCTATTTCTGCAATAATGTACATAATTACCTCAATGCCACCTTTGGCTGTCGATGGATTGGACTGAGTGGACCAGCTTTATCAAGTATTGAAATTTTCATAAAGGATATCTCAAGGCTGTCGTCTATGAGACTCTGATTGTCTCTGATGAGGACCTCATTGCTAAACTTTTAGTTAGTACTGCAGCTGTTCATGAAACATATGGCATCTTTGAAAGGGTATGCCAGTCATTTGCTTGATGCAACCAAGCCAGTATCGATGTTGGTGGTGGCACATTTGAGCACTTGCTGTAATTTAATGTACGTGAAGAGCTTTTTTTCATTTTCTGTTTTCCCCCTACACTTTTCATTTCTGACCCCACACTGCTATACAAAAAATGCTTCTATATATATTAACTACCCTTCAATATCGATTTTTCCGGATTATAGATCATCAGTTTAAATCGCGTAAGATGGCATGCAGAAATTCTAAAATTAAAAATATGAAACTGTAATTTATCAAATAAAGAACAATTATGATCTAAAGGGTATCAAAATTTACAAAAAAAAAAGCTTAATATTTATTTGTTTACTTTATTAAACATTTCTTTTAATGTAAGTTGTTTAAGTTGCTTCGTTTTTTGTGATACTTTCTCTTTAATTCTATAAACAGACATAATTTTTTGTTCAGTTACAAAGTTCCGCTGTTCAAGTCCCGTTAATTGCTGTGCCGAGAATACCGACTAACTTGTCAATCGAAATTTTTTCGTTTTCACTAACCTCTCTGTCACATTCTTCATGTCTTTATCCATTTTTTGCAGCAATTCCACTTTTTGTTTGATGGACATCAAAACATACTTTCGTTTTGTATGATCCTTTGGGAGCTCCAGATTATGAAATTCTATTTGACATAATCGAAAGTTCAAGTTTACTTTTATAGTATTGCTCTTACAGTTTGCAAAAAATAATAAGCCGGATCCAATTCGAAAATTAAGGAACAACGCAATCATCAACATTAACTGAAATAGATAATTAGATAATTTTAGCTTATACCGTTCGTTATACATAAAACGCGCACGCGAAAACGATTCTGCGCTTGCGCACACGCAAATGCGCAGTCATAAGAGGTCTTACGCGCACGCGTAAACGCCTACGCACATGTGTCAACGCAGCGCATGCGCAGAGTTTTTAGCTTTGAGGTCCGGATTATGGGTGTCCGAATTAACGACTTTTGACTGTATAATAACAGTTTATACATGTAGTTATATTAAATATCTAATAATATTTAATGTTAGTTTATTGTTATTGTATAAAGAATATTTAATATGCTGAAAGAGGAAGTCGTGATATCCACATCAGATTTTTTTACATTAAGATTAAAGTTTTTGTCTCATGGTGATATTGTGATTATGACTGGTGGGCACCTAAGGATAGGATTGCGGCATACCAGGTGCCCACGAGCTACCGGTTGGACACCACTGCTTTGCATAACAGATTTTACATTACGCTTCTAGAAGAGATAGAAAAATCCCTGTGAAGGAATCTGCAAATAGCATCAGAAAGATGTGAGAAATCAAAAGTTTTATGAAATCTATTTAATAATCCAGTTCATGAGTTAGTATCTTATCTGTGTGTCCTTGAAGTATATTACCAAATAAATATTTTGCTGACAAAGTTATTGATAAAATATGATTCTCAAAAATAATGTATTCAGGATGAAGTCTGTCTGCTTTTATGTTTTTTTTTTTTTTTTTTTTTATGTATATATTTAATTTTTAGAGCAGAATTTACCTGCAGTAATGGCTATACTTATAACTGTCATCTTCAGCCTGTTATTTTGAAGTTTGAAGATGCGTTTCTACCTCTACCTGTACCCAAGCATCTTGACTGCTCTGTCTCATTATGGAGACACAATCTGTTTAATGAATTATGGGATCGATTTTTGGAAGAATCTAAATCTACACAGTATGTGTTTCTGTGCATCATTTTCATTTTTATAGCTAATATATGCTTTATTTCTGGATATTTTAAAACTGCTTAACACTGCAATAAGTTTTAGGAATTTGTAACATGGTATTTTATGTTTTTATATAAAAATCAATTTTATGAATTTCAGGTTACTATATCTAAAATCACATTAAGATATTATTTAGACTAATAAACTACTTGTAGCTGTCGTACTGATTTTTGTAATTAGAAGCTAAAAATTTCTCTGTCAACACTATTTTTACAAATAAATCAACTGAAAATTTTAACAGCTTTTACAAGAATTACTTTGTGAACTTATGTTGTATAGTATCTTGTTTACTTCAAAAAAGTCTTAATTGCATGCCTTCTGTACTGGTCCACCTTAATAAGGCAGATAATCATAATTTTGAATAATTAAGTAAACTATCATAATAATTGAATTTTGATAATTGAATCATAATAATTAATTTGTGAAGCTATTAAGTAATTACAACTTCAAAAATTATCATTAATTAATTAAAAATGTGAAAATGAAAATACAGAGTGGTACAGCAATCTTCAAAAAATATTTCAAATGTACTGAGAATATATCCCCCCCAACAAAAAGTTTAGAATGCATTTTTTAACCTATGTTATTTTATTTTTAGCATAAAGGAGGTCAGATACTGTCAGTCAGCATTCTGCTTTGATGTAAAAAAAGATGATTTGCCAAGTATTGTGGAAGAAAGATGGAAACCATTTATTATTGAAAAATTACCGAACACATTATATGCAATTGCAATATTTTTACCACCAAGGAACCATTTATTAATGAAAATCAGTATTGTGAATGAAAAACCTTTTATTAATATTCTTGTTGATAGTATTTTAATACTGCCATGGGCAAATGTATATTTACAAGAAATAACTCATACTACTGGAATATAAGATTTAAAATAAATATTTATTGAATGTGTGTGCATTCATTTATTATTCAAGTAATTGATAACCAAATGCATTTAATTACTAAATTTCAGTCAGTATGCTCTAAACTTACATAAATTAAAGTATAAATGATTTATTGCAGAAAAAATAAACATTATAATTTGGCAATTAATCATATAAATAAAAAAATAATACAATAAATAAGAAAATTCTACTAATGTTATAATATATTTATATTATTGTATCCATATATATATTATCCATATAAATTTAAAATTGTGCTTAGTCATGCTTTAAATGCTTTAGGCATGATATTATTATGAATTTAGCATGTAAATAATTTCAGTAAAATTGTACGTAAATTGTATCTGTTGTATAACGTAACATGAAAGGCTTTATATGGCTGAATATCGGCAGAAAAATAGAGCTACAGGGTTAGTCCAATTAATATTGTAGGGAATGGCAATCTTGCTGAATTGGCCAAATGGCAATAGTTTTGTTGCCAAATTTAGCGAGATATCAATAAATGCGATGATTATTTATTAACATTTTGAACCGACACTGTGTTAACTGTAACTGTGCATGCCTTCAAACAATTTCGAGAAATCGATAGTACTGGAAATTTCTCGGCGGAGGGAGAGAACTATATAAGACCAAAGAAATCATAAGTTTTTAGTTTAGTTCAGTAGTTTTGAATTAATTTGTACAGTCAAAAGTCTTTAATCCAGATCTCAAAGCTACAAACTTTCTGTGCATGCGTAAACGCATACGCAAAATACGTTTACACATGCGCATTTAATGTATAACAGACAGTATAAGCTAAGCTAAAATTATCTAATTATATATTTCAGTTAATGTTGCAGATTGCATTGTTCCTTAATCGTCGAATTGGATCCGGCTTATTATTTTTTGCAGACTGTTAGAGCAATTTTATAAAAGTAAGCTTGAACTTTTCGATTATGTCAAAAAGAATTTCCGATTCTGGAGCTGCCAAAGGATCTACAAAGTGAAAGAATGTTTCGATGTCCATCAAACAAAAAGTGGAATTGCTGCAAAAAATGGATAAAGGCTATCCTTTGTTTCTCTAACCATTCCGAAATCTGTTTATCAATTTCCCGCTGCTCTGTGGCGGGGGTCGGCATTGCGGCGCGCATTAACTGGAAGTTGATCTGTCAACACTATCCTTATCTTCAGGCCACATGTTTTTATTTTATTCGGCTTATAATTCCTTACTAAATGTAGAATTTCATCTCGATGTACTCCGTCTTTGATATGATTTAAATCAAATTCCTCGTCATTATAAATATCACGAATACACATCAAATAGTTTTTTGGTTATAATTTTCTAATTTCAACTATTACGCATGCGCACATTAAAAGAAATGTTTAAAAAAGTAAACAAATAAATATTAAGCGCTTTTTTTTTTTTTTTTTTTTTTTTTTTGTAAATTTTGATACCATTTAGATTATAATTGCTCTTTATTTCATAAATTATGGTTTCGTATTTTTAATTTTATAATTTCTGCATGCCATCTTACCAGATTTAAATTGATGATCTATAATATGGAATCACTGAAGTCCCGATGATTCCGGATTAAAGACTTTTGACTGTAGTAGTTTAATAATTGATTGAGTAGAGTTTGTTTGTTTGTGCCTTTGTGAGCTCATGGTTTCTATATTCTTTGCCCTGATCTTGAGTACTGTATACCTACAGAATCTATATTAAGCTAGCAAATTGCCTTCCATGCTCTGCATGCTCTCTGATACCATTATGGATCAAATTTTTTAGAACCTTTTCAATGGAACTGGACAACTTATTTCAGATTTAGAGCAAAAGCATGATGATGATAAAGCTTCTCCTCTTTTGGATTGTACCAGTGAATTATTGCAAGCGGTAAAGTTTTAGCTCTGTACGTTTGATATATCTCTTGAATTAATTCAGAAAAATGACGATCCCTTGCTATTTTTGAACTTTGATGACTCAGCCATGCAAGTTGATGATATAACTATGACTGACTGGAGAACATACTATAAACGATATTTCTACTTCCAAAGGAATTCCCTTCGCACAGTATTCAGAAGAAGATGAAAAAATTCAAACTGAAAAGTCAAAGAAATCAGACAAAGAAGTAAAAAGAGGACTCGGATACTCGTCCCTCAGGAAGGGGCCAGTCTAATCAAGCCTTCCAACTTCATTCCTGTTTCGTCAGCCAAAAACATGACTGTTGTCGAACTAGTGAGAACGCTACTTTTATAGAAGCAACAGCTATCATAAAAAATGATCATCCCTCTAATTCTAAAATTATTTAAACTGTGGAAAAGAGGCAAAAAGTTCCCCCAATATTATTAAACACTCTCGCTATCAATCAAAGGACTTCAAGAAAACAATAACTGTCTGGCATGCAATAGCAACCCTAATAGCATATTGATTTAATTATGCATTATATTGTAAAATTTTTCAGGCTATGGGAAAACTGGCTATTTGTCATTTTTTACAGTAAGGTTCTTGTATGGTTAAAAAGTCAAAACTGTGGACAGTTACAGGTTGAATCGCTTGGGATCCTGCTGCCTAAGATTTTTGAAGGCTGATTTGTGCACACCGAATTGGGTCTCTGATTCAAACTGGTAACATCTATTGACGTATGCTGGCTGTTTATGTTTGTTTGTTGATCAATCGTAGATTGTGCTGCATTTGATTCATTCAATGAATTTTCCATATGTTGGGCAGGAGATGTATACTGCGTGGGTGCATGATATTCTATTCATGAAGCAGTGATTAAAGTCAGCACAATCAGAAACCTCAGACACAAGCAAGAGTCTCAGAATTAAAAAAGCTCTGGGAATAGACCAAATACCCAATATTCATTTGCAAAATTTACGGTAAAAAAGCGTGTGGTAAAAATCAATGAACAGTTGTAGTTCTGACCTGGATTCAATTCCAGGCAAATGAGATGCTGCAAGGGTGTATTTTGGTTTTTCCCATTTGTAGTATATATATGAGCCATTTTACTTTAGAAAGTTCCCCACAAAAGCATCCTCCCGTTAGGCAGATAGCCCTAGTGTGCTTTGCCATAAACAACTAAACCAACCTCCGAAATTTACCAGAAAATATTATTTGTAAATTCACAAGCATCATTAAGGCAGGCTGAGTAAATTCTTATTTTTCAGATATTTACAAAGACAGCAAAAGTCATCCTTGTCCCAACCCCTAGGAAAGACCATTCAAAGCCTGATGTTTAATAGACTTATTAGTCTACTATCTGGACTTGGGTAAATTTATCAATACACTGTTCTACGAAGAATGGAACTGTACCTTTGGTTTCTCTCTCTCGAACAATTTGTATTTAGAGAAAATTTATCCACCACCAAGTAGATAGTTTGGATCACAAAATTCGCTGGGCAGCCTTGCATTCTAAGTTAAATACTGCTCTTATCATGCTGAACGTGGCAAAAGCATTTCATTGTATCTGACATGAGGGTCTCATCTGCAAACTAATTGACTTCAACTTAAACATGGAACTTATCGTACTTATACTTTGATTACAGAAAGTTCAAGGTTTCAATTAGAAATGCCCTTTTTTTCAGGAACAAATAACGACCAAGTAATTTTGTGCAAATGCTTTGTATTCAGCCAAATAATCTTCTTCAGCTTCAATTACGTGTTTTGATCGAATTACGCTTCCAGACATATTAACATTTAACTTTCCACTGATGTCAATTTTATCACCAGACAAGGTCTGGAGGGGGGAGAAATGCATAACCTCCAGATGAGTTTACCTTCCATTTGTTGAACAATATCTTTTCGAATGATGGCAGCACTGGGTCCTGTATCAATGGCCATATTGCAAGGAAATCCATTTATATATCCCATGATGGAGTTCATACTGCCACCTCTCATTGCAGAAACCTGAAGCGATTTAAAATGAGGCTTGTCAATATTTGGCAACCTTCGTCCATGTGATGACTACTAATTAGTTTCCTCCTTTTTGTTGGGAGTGGCATCCCTGTCATGAGGTGTTCTGCAGTTCCTTGGAGAATTTGAAGGATATCCACTGCATCTTCTCTCAGAGAAGCCATGAGATGGCTGGCCTTAGCTTGGAAATCCCATCCATTTACATCTGCCACTACAGAGAACTGAGTCTTATGTACTTGCCAGGAAGTCTTTCCATCATTATTGGACAGCTTTAGAGAGGGGTGAAAAATTTTAAACCATCAGAATTGCTTCCTTCTAACACTGTGAATTTCTTTAAGCTGCTAACTTGCTTGGCGACAGCAGAAATTCTGTAATTGATTTGTTGTAAAAACACTTCCTTTGAATTTTGGTTTGCCAGCAGAGACTCCTTCTTTAATTGTTCCAACTTTATTTTTAACCACATCTATTCTGCCTTCCTAACCTTGCATTTGTGTTCGGTTCCTAACCTCGCATTTGTGTTCGGTTATGGCAGTAATTCGTCTTTTCGTTTCCCCTTGATCTGTTTTCACCTCTACTTTAAATGCAACAAAGTTTGTTATCAATTGTCTCAGTTGCTCCTTTATGGCTTTTGTTACCGTCATTCAATCCATTTCTGACACGCAAAACTGTTTCCTGCATAGGGGCTGTAATGGAATGAATGCACACAGAATTGATGACAGCTTGATTTAAAAAAAAAAAAAAAATTCCCAAACAAAACACTTTACAATTCTGGAACTTTTCACAAAAGTTCTCGTACAACTCTTCTTCTTTAGATCGAGTTTTTCAGGTATCAGTCTTCATTTGTTTGGTTCGGCCACTTTATTTATAAAGTCTAACAGACCCATAGACCATGTGTAACTCTTTAGTACTGAGAATACTTAAAGTATTATCAGAAGTTCAAGGTCAGTAGCCTGTTCCTCCGATAAATGTTTTTCAAGATGTCTCTCAAGGACTACAGCCATCTTGATCACCGTAATAGCCACCCTGAAGGTATAACCTTCAGATCTGTCTCTTTTGGCAGTCTTTGGAGCTGTATTCTGCTCCATCCTTTGAAACTGCCTTTTTTCACTTTTCCGTTG